TAGCGTGCTGTAGTGCTTATCTGTGTATTTATCTGCTATAAAATGAAATGGATTATATGAAGAGCTCTACAAAGTGGTCTTCAGCACTCCAAAATTTCCCTAATGCAATTAAGACTGAAATTTCAGAAAATGAAAGATTAGTTAGCTGCCATAGACTGGTGTTTCATTGGATTGCACGCATATGTGCAATATTTATGTTGTGGGGACTTTCTGTTTCTAGAATGACCATGGACAACATGCTACAATGCAGTGACTGGATGGCATTGGATGAGCTTCTCCATGGAGTAAATGCATGGTGACTGTAATCAGTTCCAGCACATGGACTTCAAGCTGTAAAAAAAATAATTACATTTCTGTCACATCTTCCTTTAAATTATGAAGGAGGGCTTTGCTGGTTCTGCTGCTTCCTAACGTCACTGGCTTGTTCTCTGAGAAGATTAACAATCAAGAAAATTGAGGATTCCACCTGCCCTCCCCACATGTACTCACACCTCAGGCTGATCTGAGCTTTCTTAATTGCAAGACCAAAACACTTTAATGCAAATATTCCTTTGCTTCCATCCTAGGTAGGCAGTAGTTATTTATAAGTCCAGCATGCTGTGTCTGTCTGAGGCTGCCACATGCTGTTCAACGACATCCTGATGTTTACTTGTGCCTACTTTCCTTTATAGATATTCTTATCCTGTGCTAGTACTGCTGTCTGCTTTTAAGATGCACAGCGAATGGTGATGTTGCTCTCTACATATCAAACACAATGCATCCCTTTAGATTTCATAGTTCACTGTGCCCCAGGTGCTGTTATTATCAGTCCTGACATCATTCATTTGATATGATGGGCCCTGTCTTTCCATTTATCTGTAATGGACAGGAGATTTTGAATCATTTTATCTTCCAAGCACAGCAACATCTTTTCTTTAAAAAGTGACTTTCCTCTCTCTCCATTTCTCGCTTTCTTCCTTGTCTAATATCTTGTGCATTGTATTTATCCTCCCCATGTCTTTATTTTGTATTTCCTTTTCCCTTTTTTTTTTTTTTTGGGGGGGGGGAAGGGGGTTCGGTTGTCTGTTTTCTTTTTCTCCTCTCCTCCCTCTGTATTCCCCCTTCTCTCTTTTTCCCCTCTCATTTTCCTTTCCATGCAGGGCATTGATCCAGTCTTACCACAGCCAACTGAAGAGTTCTGTTAACCATATCAGCCTTGGGTTAGTTTAGGTAGTGTCTCCCAGTCCAAACACATTTCAGAATTGAGTAAAGTTGGAAGCTGAGGTGCTTGGGATCTTTTGCTTTGCACTTAAGTCAAGCAGGCCTAAGGGTAAGACAACAAAGAAGACAAATGTTCAGTAAAACTTAACGTCAAACTTTGAGGTGCAAGATTAAAAGCAAGGTCTTTCAATTGCAAACAGACTTAAAATATTATTCTGTTTTTAACTGAAAAAGTCCATGCGTTAGCAACTTAACCTATTTCTCATTAACTCCCTCTGAGGTGTCCCTGCCTTCAGAGAAAGACCTAATGCTTTTCTTAGAAGTGCATTTACTGCCTGTGGATTCAGAAGAGAAAACTCAACCTCATCTTTATGACTGTGGTGTATATCAACTGGAGATGTTAAGGATCCAGTTTTCATAGAGTAGTTCTCCCATTTGCAGTTCTGAATGACTACCTGCCTTTATACATCTTCAGAGGTGAGGCTTGTAGAGGTGCAGGAGTATTATTGATGATGTGTAATGATATTTGCAACCAACAGGCAACAGATTCACCTGTGGTTGAATTTTCTGTGCTCACAGCCAGTCAAAGGAGAGTTGTATGTTTTCCATCAGATTTTTGCTCCAGGGTCTGGGCTTGAATACTTTGTTCATTTTCCAGGGACACATGGCACTAGTATATCTGAAGGACAGACTGCCCAAGCATTTCTTTCCTCAGACAATTGTGAGTGCTGAATGCTTTGCTGTGTATCACTGTGGCAGTGTTTTCTGGCTACATACATTTTTAGAACAGCTTAGTTATGCTTAGAGGATCCTATCTTCTACCAGCTCCATAGTTTTCTTGAGTTATTCTAGAGCTACTCACAGAAACGTTACAGCCCTAGAGTCTGCTTGTAGTAAGAAGGTCAAAAGTGTTTGGTCTTGCTTGGTGGGAGAGACATGATATTTGCAGAGACTGCTTCAAATTGTGGAACCGATCCTTTCTGCAGTGGCCCTAATGGATCATATCTCTCAAAGGTTGTGGCTGAAATGTTTAATGGAGCCACTTCAGTTCTTATGTAGAACAAAAGAGAAAATAGTTTCCTTTTGTTGTGCTTTGGTAGCCAAGCAGTATAGTCCAAGAGGCAGCTAACAGCTGTCCTGCATGCTGACCCTCATCAAAAAAACTGCTTAAACGTAGAAAAGAAAGTAGAGCTGTAAGAAAAGTTCAATCCAAAGCATCAGACTTGCGAGCAAGGGAAATACAATTTAATTACGGGTAATCTGTATAGAGATAGAGGTGGGGTTTTCTTTACTTTATTGGAATTCCTTGTGGCAAACCATTTTCATCACTTGGTTTGAGCTGCTCGTAGTCCCATCCGGGCTGTCACGTAGTCTCACTAATGCTGCAAAGGAGAGAAGACATAAAGCATTTAAAGCAAACATAATAGCATGGAACTACGTTGTGAGAAATGCCTTTTGATTTGAGAAGTGAATTTCATTAAATCCTGCCAAATGTAGAAAGCCAGTCTCAGCTTTCCAGTCCCTTCATTTGCTATCAGCAGTTGAGATCAGCTTAATATTTTACCTTCACCCTTGGCTGCAGAGCATAACGGACAAAACCATTATCCGTGAATGTCATCGCCATTAGGAGAGGAAGAGAAGAAGGAAAGGAACAAGGGAACAGAGCTGGTGGGGATCTCCAAAAATAAACAGCCTTTAACACTATGATCAGAGGGAGAGAGCGAGATTGGAAAAATCAGTGTCTCATAATTTAATTAAAGTTCTACATCTCCTTCAGAGCTGCGGCTACAAGCTGCCAGGCAGAGGACTAATGTTTAAAGGTCATTTAAATGAGCAGAGATGTTCATCATTGGAGGAACAAAACTGAACTTTGCCTCCCAGTTCTTGCCTGCTTGCTGAGAATTTACCTTCCTTCCCTGCTGTAAATAACAGCTTTGCCTGTGAATGGCATGGGGCAATTGAACCGTCATAGGGTCTCCACTAGGAAGAGCCTCCTTTTTTATCAGACTTATGGAATTTGTAAATTGCAACTTGGGCAGAGTGAAGACTGTCCAAAGAGTGAGGGTACTGTGAGCTATGGACATGTCAGCATCCTGTGTAGAAGCTGTGCTTATGACCCAGCACTGCATCCCAGAGCATAGGCCATAGCAGAACCAGACGCTGCAGTGAGAAGCACTGCAATGCTGCAGAGTTGATTAGGAGTTTTTTTCTTGCATCCTTTTCTAAAAGAACATGCGTTTGTTCTTGTGTTCTGAAAGAAAAATAATTTATATATTTTACAAAGTGTTTTTTTGTTAAGTGACTTTTAAAATGGAGTAATACCTGCTGGAAGGAAGTTGTGTACACACACAAGTTCTTAGCAGAAATACAATTGTAAATCTCAGCTGAACATCTGATGTCCTGCAGGTCAGGAGAGCTGAGCCTACAGGTAACTTTGCCTGAAGGGCTATGAAGAAACATAGCAGAGGTGGTCATGTTTTCATGTGGAATTTTTGGTAGAAGCATTCAGTGGCTTCTCGTGCTTTAGTTACTGGTAATATTTTCTAACTTTCAGAATGAGCAATGTAGCAGCTATGGGTTATGAAGAAAGAAGGGAATTCAGGTAACACTAGAACTAAAGTCAGAATGGGTCTTGTGATGTTGCCAGAAACCCCAAGATGGCATCAGAGACCTTGTTTTCCTCCATTAAAATCATATGACATTTTTAGTGAATTTTATTGTTTCTTTGTTTTCTTTTCTTAACCAGTTCTCCAGTGTATCTAGTATTTTTTTTTCAAGTATTCCAGTTTTAAGATCTTTTTTCTGCAAGCATCATTTGCAAGGCACTGATAATATCAGAACTGCTGGATGCAATGCACCCCAATTTTAATGCAAGATTCTGCCTGAAGAGCACCAGATTGTGTCCCCGGGAATACATCTGTACTTATTCTGTTGCTAGGCTGGAACAGCAAAGCTGGGTGTAACTCTGTAGTAGGAATTTGTCCAGTGCTTAAAATAGTTAGGCTCTGCAGTGCACACAGTCACTAATGAGGGAAATTAGTCAGATGTTGCAAAATTGCACGATGATGTACTGCTCCTTACAATCAAATATCCTGCAAAATTTTTCACTGATCACTGAGTCAGGAGCAGAATATTTTCAAGCCAACTAATGAAAACACTTTCTCACTGCAAATCTAAGATCCTTATTTAGCTTTTTATTCAGTCTTTGCAGTGAATCTAGGTAATTGTTCCACATAATGATGTAGCATGCATCAAGATCTTCTTGATGTGCTTCAGATAGCTACATTTCTCATGAGCGGAGGAGCTTAAATGAGATATCCAGCTCATCTCATTTAAGTGCATACATATTTCAGACTGGTCGAAGAGATTCAAGCACCTGTCTTCAATTAGAATGAGTAGGAGTTGGATGTACTTATTTGCTGTGGAGGTTTTGAGAAGCCTTTGCTGCATGTAAGCTGGGTGAGTTTTGTAGATAGCACAGAATTTAGAGCATTTCCGAAGATAATTTTGTTTGTAAGTAGTCCTGATTGTGTGTGTACTTAGGTAAAGGAAAATCTGCATTTATTTTCAGGGCTGTAACTGTGTGAATTCTGGAAGGAAAGGAAATGATCAAATCTGCATGCGGCACGCACCTCTGAAGCGTACTGGCTGTTGATTCATTCCAATGCAATGTTAAACATCTTTGATCTTTTATTTTAATTGACATTTCCCATCATTGTGCCAGGTCTTGCCAGAATCGGGAACTCTTTGGAATCAGCTTTTCTTTCAGGGGTTTGTGATGTGTTGCTTTGTGATTTCAGCCACCGTTGTTCCTTGAGTGGAGATGATCTGAACAGACAGTGGCTGACGCCCAGTTCTCAACTTCATCCAACAATTTACCACACCAAAGGTCTTCTGTATTATCTGCGCAGCATCGGCCGGGCCCCTCTGGTGAGTAACTCCCAGTATCTTCTGTTGCTTATTGCAGTTGTGTGAGCAGCCTTGCTTTATGGCTGGAGAGATTTGGAAAGCATCCTATGCTGTTACACTTTCATCCCTCGGGAATGTTTTTGAAAGTCTTGGATTATCTGCTGAATCTTCTAACCAACTCCAAACTTCAGAGTCTTTGCACACCTGCAATGTGAATATAAATTCTTTAAAGCTCCTTAGTATCCTCAAAGTACTTCAACTAAGCTAGATATTGGTAGTAGGTTATTGCTATCTTTCTGGCAATGACGGAAGAAATTCTGTAAAGGGTGAAGTCTGTAGTCTTCTGTGGTCTGCATGGATCATGCAAAAGCTGAGGCTGGAGCAATCTGTGCAATCACAGAAACACAGGAGATAGTCTTCAAAATGGTTGAACTTCCCTGCTGCTTTAGTGAGAAGAGAACGACTTTGACCAGAAGTTCATGAGGATGATGCTACTGGGATATATATGGGATCTATCCTCATCTGCTTTGTCTTGGTGCTCTGTAGACCGAATAGTTCTGAGACTTCAGGATAAAAAACGCTGAGAGTTTCAAATGTCGATGAACAGAATGGAAGCGGATGGACCGGCAGGCTGGCTTCTCATAGCCCCAGTTAGGCAGGAAATGTCCAAAGATGCACAGTTCCCTCTGGTCTCAATGAGAAAATCCTCAGACAAGGTGCAAATGTCTGTGAGTTTCTTTAAGTGAATTTTTGTGGAAATATGCCATTTTTGGCCTAAACAACAGTCCTGACGTTCAGCTCTGTAGTCCAAGGAATCTATTGGAAGTTCAACTTGCAGCTGAGAGTTTACTCACCTACATTTTATTTGGGTTTTGAGCTACATCTGATCAGTTTTGTCTTACCATGCTTATCCTATTAGGTCTTTTTAATTTAAATTTATCAGAACCATCCCTGTCATATCCAAATGCATGAAGTTGAACATGAGCCCAGTGGAAGTTTTCATCCTGCCGAGTGAAGTAAGACTATTGATCGTATCATCTCTCTCACTCACAGGCAGTGTGTCAGTCGTGGTAAACTGATTTTTCTTTGCCTTTGAAGAGTACATTGATTTTGGTTTTTACATGCTTACAAATGCCTTTTCCCCACTACAGAAGGGAGCTGGGTTTCTTCTGCCTTGCACTCACTGCCATGATGCCATGAAGCCAATTTCACTGATAGCCAAATGATTTCTGTGGAGTGGATTAGTTTCATTTATACTGGGGATGGGCAAGCAGTTTCTTCAAAGCAAAGAAAAGATGCTTGAAAGAGAAAAGGAAATAACTTCAAAGTTAACAGCATTTCAAGCCAAACTCATTTTGATTGGTAACTTCAGCCATAGAAAACAGCCTTCTAAGTGCTTTTTTTTTTTTTTTTTTTTGCTTCTCTTGTTGGTTCTGGAAACCCTAGTAAAAGAAGGGGCTGGATGTACTCTGTGGTATTGCAGCTCTCCACTGCAGGGGATTTCTTGCCAACTGAGAGCAGTGGGAGTATGAGAGATTGAGCTTGGGAGCAGCTGGGACTGAGGGGTAAAGAGATGCTGCTTTCCCCTTGAGCATTTGTGGTGAGGAAATGGTACAGTTTGCAAGTTGCACCTTGCAGTATGCAACAGAAAAGTGTAGCTCATACAGAGAGATCAAGCTGCAGCGAAGAGCAAGTTACTTTTGGAGGGGACAGAAAGAAGCTCCCAGGGACCAGGAAACATCAAGCAGTGTTTTCTTTCAAAGGTGTTCTGTGTTAAGCTTGGAAACAGATCTGACTGGAAGGATGTAGCTTTTTGTGAACAAACAATGCTAGATGTGTCTACCTTGAGACTCAGGTTGGGTGCTCTCACAATGCTACTGAGGAAAGATGGAGATTTTTGAAGAAAAAATAAAGAAACTTCAAAATGTTCTGTTTGCCAACAAAGTTTTTTTGCTTCCATTTTCTGTTTGCTTTTCATTTGTTTTAAAAGCTTCCTGATTCTGTGAGTCATTGAGTGAGTCTGTGAGGGGGATTGTTTTTGAGTTTGAAAACAGGTCCTTACCTTTATGATGCTCAGTGCTGGTATGTAACTTTAAATAGATCAAAATTTGCATGTGTATCTTGAGTCATACCCCAGTGAGCACAAGACTTGGAATCTGACTATGTGTTAGTATCCCAGCTGTACAAGATGCATAGAGTAGAGAAAAATAGGTAGGTAGGTCCCAAGCTTGCCTTGTGGTTGCTCAGACATAACCCCAGAAAAGTTCTTCATTGGGTGCTGCAACTACAAAATGCAATATTTTCTTGGCTAAATGTTGAGGCTTAAGCTGCTCTGTAGAATAAAAATAGAGCAGAAGAATGTATTATAAAAGAAAGCAGTTTGTCATAAACATTGAGAATAACTGCAATATTCAGGAAAATTAATTAAAATGAAGGTCTATGCAATGCACAAATGGAATGGAAATATTTCCAGTAGCGCTGACTTCTCTCCTGTGGAGGGGGGTGGCAATCAGTGATACATCCCAGGGCATGAAACAGTGGTGTTACAGAGCTTGGCTCTTATAATCCTTTACTAATATGGAACGCTTGTTCCTGACTTGTCACTTAGGGACTCACTGGCAGGTTTCTTGAGATGCAGAATTATAGACCTCCTACTTATCAGGCAGCAAAGCTATCTGAGCAGCTCATCATCCCTGTGTGGTTTCCAATAAGTAATCTTTTAGGTAATAATATATGCATCTTGCATGTTAGTAATTCTGTAAATTGGCAGGTAATTGATACCTGGTTGAGCTGGGATCTCTGCCTCGAAATAGAACCACAGCTATAAAATCTTCTTTGATATTCATAGGAGTAAATTCTAGGTGGTACCTGTGGTTAAACTAATCTATGTCTGTATTGCTGGAAGCATAGATGGAACGCTAACTGGAAAAATGCCCGTCATTAAAAGAACCAATAAATGCAGCTGTTTGGAAGGGGCCTTTATGGGATAATTCCCTGTGTTTCAGGCAGTTGCTTGCAGTGCAGGGCTGCATAAGCCCTGTGTGTGCACGCGGCCTGGCGGCTCAGCTCTGCTGTGGTCTCAGCTCCAGTGCTGCGTGCAGGCTTGGTGCCACAAGATATGAAGGTAAAACTGAGTCTGAAGGATGGCTGCAAAGATGATGAAGGGTCTGGAGGGTGTGAGGAGCTGCTGGAGTCCCTTGGTTTGTTTTGCCTAGGGCAGAGGAGCTGAGGGGAGGCTCGTGGCAGCCTGCAGAGCCTCACAGGTAGCTGGGGTTCAGCGCTGCTCTCCGGTGACTCCACAGGACCAGAGGGAACAGCACTGAGCTGCCTCAGGGGAGGGTCAAGAGGGGAAGGTTCAATACACAGTTTGAATTTTGGATGGCCTCTATGGAGCCAGAAGTTGGACTGGGTGATCCTTTTGCAGGTCCTGTCCAGCTCAGGGTGTTCTGTGGCTACAGCTGTGCGGTTAGTTAGGACTTGTGGGATGAATCTCTGTGTGTGTGTGTCTTAGCATCTCCAGTCAGTGTACAGCTTGTCCGAGCAGCTGCAAGTATTTAAATACTCAGTTCCTAGATTATTAAACTTCCTGACCAGCTGCAGCTAAACTCAGTTACAGTGTAACTAGTAAATAAGCATACTAGGCTAAAACTTGCCTTAACAGTTGGTGGAAGAAGTTGATCTACTCCATCTGTCTGTGCTTATACAAGAATACATGTTTTTCTCCCTCAGTTTTTTTTAATTGATCCATAGTTCTTCCCTACCTCTTGACACCTGTCCCTTTGTCTCTGATACATGCCTCAGAAAACTATTTAAATGAGATCATGAAGTTCCTTTCTAATCAGCACTAAATATTGTTTTAAAATGAACCGATGTCTTCTCTTCAGAAATCCTTGTCTTTTCGTTGACAGATTTCTGAATATTCCTGATAAAGGCACAGAGAATATATGTAACAGCAGTCTGTATTGACTTCATATTTCTGAGGGCAATGAGATTGATTATTATTTAACACTTGTGTCAATATTTACCTCTTGGGTCATTAAATCGTGATTTTCATTTTTGTTGGAGTTGATATCTGCCTATGAGGGCAATCAAAACTTCCATTAAAACCTGGAAAGTACCTTGTACCTAGTTTATATGACATGAGAGATGGATTAGACAGATAGATTATGGAATGTATGATAGAGTATGGAATCAGATTATTTGTCACAAAGATAGATAATGCTCTGTGCTTGATGTCCAGGAATTCATGTAAGGAACTGACCACTTATGATACATTTTTTACACAATTGCACAATTACATTTTCCTGAAAAATATGTAGCACAGTTTTTGAATTTAAAGAAGCCAAGGTGATTAATTACTGGGGAAAGGTGCAGTTTTTAAATCTCCTGAAGATAATGCTGGAGTTGAGAAGTCAGAGGAGCCTGACAAATTGCTGTGTTGTATCATAAGTTACCATGAACTCTCAGGTTCCTGAGTTGGCATAGAATCTTGCACAGGTGTCATGTTTATTTCTGCTGTAGACAGAAATGCACTGGTGTTGACACTGGATTCATGAGATCATGTCAGATCCAATAGATAAAGCAAGGTACAGCTGACTAACAGAGTTTGACACTGATTATAGGCTGGGCCCAGAGCACTGAGTTTTTCTGAAGAGAACTGAAAAGAATTCTTCACATATAGTGTTTATAGTGTCTGTTGTGAAGAACCAGGAAACTTACTTCAGTATTCAAGATTTTCCCTTTTTTTCCTCTCTAGGTATTCTGTGACTACCATGGCCACTCCCAGAAAAAGAATGTGTTCCTCTATGGTTGCAGCATCAAGGAGACTTTGTGGCAAGCAGGCTGCATGGTTGACACAGCAGTTATCACAGAAGATGTTGGCTACAGGGTAGGTCCACTTTGTTCCTTTCTGCAGTTGCTGGCATACATGTACACCTACATCTCTCCTTAAGATGAGGTCAGATCACAAGTTCTGTAGGTATGTGCAAACTTCTCTTTCTCCAGAGGAGTAGAGATGCAGAAAAATTCAAATAATTCCTGGTATCTTCATGCACCAGCTATCAGCAATAATATTGTCAATAGGTGGATCTCTATTTCATTTTATTAAGATGCTCTTTTACTGTCTTCAGCCACTGACTAATAGGAATGTTGTATTTTTGTGTTTTGTAAGTTCCAAGTATACATGTGCTTCTCTCATCCACAACTCATGAGAAGTCCTTGTGGAAACACTTGTTTCACAAGGAAAGCAGGAAGGGTGCTTACAATCAGAACATCGCTTGTTGTATTTGAATTCAGAGAGCTGGAAAAGGTGAGGATGGCTCACTGTTACACAAACAGAATTCAAATGCTGCTTTCAGCATCTGGTGCCTGTCTTGAATCTGCAATGAAGAAACCAAGAGCAAGTGTCCAAGGGTGTCCAAGAATCTGCAGTGGCATAGATGAAAGATTTTGTGATTAGAATTCTCCCTTTTGCACAATATGGGAAGTTTCTGTCTTTCCTCCCATGAGTAACTGGGGGTGATTCTGGCCTCCATGATGGATTTACTTCCCAAAAACATGAACGTAATACCTTGAGAAAATTGTGATTTTTGAATAGCCTTTGCTGTAGCCCTTGACCATTCATGAGAGAAAGAGTCATTGTTACCCTCTAATATTTGGCCTCAGATGACTGCATAGCATTGACATCACAAAACCCAGCTTCAGGATTTCTCCTTTTCATCACCATTCCAGGCCCTTGGACAGCAATCTCTGAAGGGGCATCAGTAAAGAATCACAGAATCACAGAATCAAAGAATCCTAATTCCATTCTGACCAAATGGGAATGGAGGTTTATGGACAGGGGTCCTGTATGAGGAGCAGCACCCCTGCTGTTGTGCATGCTAAATCTAGCTGCATGAGAGACAGGGTGTGCAGTTATACTAATGTATTGTCATAAAAGAATCCTTTGAAAAGATGTGTTTTCACCATCCCAAAAATACAATTGAAAGATAATTAATGAGAAAAGCAGAGAAGAAAGAACTATTAGTGTGAAATCCAGTGAAAGCTGGTGAAATGAAAAGAATATTAAATTCAAATTTGCTAATGCTTCTAAATGAGTCCTGACTACAGAGACATTACTGTTACCTGCCAGCGTTTCTATTTAATCAAATGTAAAAGATTGATTATGCATATAATTTCAATTGTTTTTAGACTAAACTGGATTAGGGATCTGATTATGGTATTTCATATTTACAAAAATCTGTGTGCTGCCTCAGATGAGGACAGAATGAAAACTATCTGGGCCTTCACGCACGGTTTAACTGGATCTAATGATTGTGCTCAGGATTATAATTGTTTGGGTGACTGTGCTGTATTTTTAACCCGGCTCCAGGAAAACCTGGAAGTGCTGCATGGAATTATAATATTTTGCAGCAAATTGTACTTTGGAGGCAATTCAGAAGCAGTGAATGTTTAGTCCAGAGCAAGTAATCAATTTTAAAGATTCCTCTGTTCAGTATTCTCACAAGAAAAGGAATGCTGTAGCTCTTAATAGCACAGTGCAGATCTTGACTTAAGAGTTAGGCTCATGCTGGTCTCAGACTTGAAATGTAACCTCTCACTTTGTTCCTATTCATCAGTTTTTTCATCTGATGAATGGATCTTATGGATCTATAGATCTGCACCTTACAGAACCTGTAGGGTCCGTTCACAGCTGTAGATAGGATATACTGGAAATAACATTTACTTTATTACAGAGGTATGTATGATTAAGATGTTTGCAGTGGATGTGGCAGAATAGTTTAGACCAAAGATTTATCATCTGCATCAGTCATGCTTTAAGAGAAGACCTGCTATTAAACATTACTTTTTCAGTTTTGATGAAACCATGTATTCCTGTACAGAGCGATGACGTAAAGCTCAACAGAGTGGAACTAGAATTGCTTAGAATCAATCAGTTTCACTGATTGTTATTGGAAAGTGAAATTAGCTGGTTGGCTTTCACCACCCAAACTGAATGAAATTCGAGGATAAATGCCATTAGCAATGAGCAGAAGCTCCTTCTGGATGATTCCATTCCATTCAGAAGTTTAAGAAAGCTGTCATCAAAGAAATAATGAAAGTTCTTATTTTGCTTGCTCTTCACTTGATGGACCAGATGGTCTTTGGGCAGCATGGAAGTACTACAATTTATATGCATGTATGTGCATATGTATGTAAAAGCCCAACTTCTACACAGCACACCTAGTGTTAATGTATCTAGAATATATTTTTAAAGGTAGTGTGAAGAAGTGTTGCATCCACGCTGATAGAAATATTTGATAGCACAGTGTATTAGCAGTGTTTATAGGCTGTTGTTGAGAAAAATGATGTCTAGAATAAGAAAATTACTCAGAGCTAAGAGATAATTTTACTGAATTTTCATATTTACTCTTTATTGTCATTTTCTATGTGGAGTGTATCCAATGTACCATGTGATCCCAGATGAGAATATTTTGGTTTATTTCACAATGCAAGATAGTTAAATGTTAAGCTCTATTTTCCTATAATTATCTGTGACCTTCAGTGGGATTACACATTCCCTTTCTCTGCTATGTGCTTTGTTCAAACAAAATTCTTCCTGTAGCTGAATCCCTTGTCAAATTGTGAATGCATAATGGGAGGAGCTGGAAAGGAGAGAATGGAAACATTGTGTGCAAAGCTATGACTGCAGCTCGCTAGGCAGAACAGGGAAATGTAGTTAATGTTGAAGCAGCTTGAAAGTAAAACTTTGTAAGTGACTTCAGCAGTCCAAAACTATTTGGTGTGCAGATACTTCATTTTGGATGGGATGTACCAAATGTACTTCTAGCATTTTTGCCTGTGACTGGGGGAAAAAAAAAACCCCAAACATTAGAATATGAAGATTTCACTTGGGATGAAGATGAGTCCAGTTTGGCACTAGTTGGAACGTCACAGTGACAGTTTCTACAGATAGATTTGGTGATACGCACTTTAGAAAGCATAGGTCTCTGTAGATGTGTGGGTGATACAAATGCACGTGCATCTGTTCAATTCATTTTCTAATTGCTAATACTTTCTCATAGACTCTTCCTAAAATCCTGGACAAAGTGGCCCCTGCGTTTGTCATGAACAGCTGCAGCTTCCTTGTGGAAAAGTCCCGCAAGTCGACGGCCCGGGTGGTGGTGTGGCAGGAAATGGGTGTGCTGAGGAGCTACACCATGGAGAGCACGTACTGCGGCTGCAGCCACGGCCTCTACAAAGTAAGAACATCTTTCAAAGAACTACATCCACCCTCCTTCTAATGCATGCCTCGTGAGCTTGGACGAATAACGAGAGAGTGCTGTTTTCTTGCTGTTTGATATTGCCAGCTTCCTTGTGTACGAGTGTAGCTGTGCCTTCTGGGTTTCTTCTCAGCTAAATCTTTCCATGATCCCTCTCTCCTTTAATCTTCCATAGCAAGGAAGGATTCCTTGCTATGAGGTTTCATTTGACACTGAAGTAAAAAGAAATTCCAGTCTAATGCCAAAAGCATTGAGCTGAAGGAAGGAATGTTTTTGAGATGATGCAGAGTATTTATGTCTAATGGTATTCACAGTCTAAGGTAAGTCTAAGGTAATTAACATGAATATTAGGAGTCATACACTTTCTGTTGCAGTCAATCTGAACATTTGCTTGGCTAAACTTAGGAGCCTGCACTGAGAATTTTGCACTTGGAATTTCCTGTTACTATCAGCCAAAAGTAGCTGATCTGTAAGCTCAGGCCATGGCTTTGACTATGAACTAGATGGACCTGAATTTGTTACCAAATGAGGTTCTAGATATTGTGGGAAGGACTGCACTTATGCTGAGTGCATCTGAGACAGGAGCCTCTTGGCACTTCTGAAGTACACAGTCTGAACTCTGGTAATTGTGTTTAGCTGTTCTTAATTCTCCACTTACTCAAATGGTGAATTCTTTTTTGTTCCTTTCCCAAACCTGTTGCTTTCTTGGAAGGGATTCCATGCTCCACCTTATTTCTCCCACAAGGGAGCAATCCTCATCTGTGGAGCATTAATATGTGGTTAAGGATCCGAAAAGACCCTTAAGGAAAGAGCCTTTATTACAAATAACAATAAGACATTCAAATTACTGTTCTTTTCAAGCTCTATACTATCCTTTTATATTCCATAGAATGTAGCCAGCAAGTTCTCGACTACTGTTTTAACAGTGCTCGACACATTATTTCCAAGATAGAAAAGGCAGAAGAAATATCTGAAGACAGTTTAAAGAAAGAGAGTATAACTGCCCTGAGCATTACACTTAGTGCTCCCTACTCTGAGAAGTGCTAATGGGTTTTTAATAGGCACCACAGGTTGTGGCAGGATTTTAAACCTATAGACAGTGGGGGAAAATTCTACCTTGACTAATATCAATGGTAAAACTCCTAGTGATCTCCATGGAGAATTTAACTCATTTCCTAGATAATCAGAGTAACATCTAAAAGCAGTTGGACATCAGTTTTTATCAATGTCTAATGATTTGCTCTCTACTTCCTTTAGTATCTTCAAACTAAATTTGCTTAAGTGTGTGCCAGCAGATTTAAAATGTTTTATGCAACAGTCTCCCAAGTCCACCACCACTTAGTAAGCTGGTGGTCAGACTTCTGATAGTGTTGATAGCAGTTCTGGATCCTGATCTTTCTTCCTGCTTGAAACTGGTGAAAGTAATGGTGAATGCGGCTGCTTTGCTGGCTGTAAACTGAGATACAAACTTCTTGTGCTTGGAGTTGCCCATATCTGATAGGGAGTTTGCAAAGAATTTAGGAAAAACAAGAAAGCTTTAAAAAGACTGCAAGAGGCTTAAGTATTAAATGCATAGAGCTTCAGGTGAGCCTCCTCTCACCACAGAGCAGTGTTGTAGGAGGGCTGAGTTAAACCAACAGGCAGCCTGTCTGATAGAAAGTCCAGAAAAGAAGTTCCTAAAGTTTTTTGAAGGCACAGTGTGTTCATATCTTGGATAGAAATGTGACTTTCATTTTGAAAGCATTTTAGTGAGTGAAAAATAAGGTATGAATTTGTTACTAGTGATATGTAAATGAGAAACAGTTGTGACCCCAGCCTCGATTAAAAGTCGTTTGATTTCCAATGGGTACGGGGGAGGGCAGAAATGAGAGCAAAAGAAAAGATGACTTGTCTCTGTTGAATCTCTCTGTCTGTGTGATCAATGGAAATGCAATAAGCCATCTACCCTTAAGGAAGAGAAACATAAAACTAAAGGAACTATTGATCTTATCTAAGGTTTTATTCAACATGAGGAAGAAGAAAAGAAGGGGAAAAAAAGTCCAGACTCTTTCATTTTGTCTGGATTGTCCAATTGAGTCTTAGAACAGCAGTGTCTCCATTTGAAAGCTGCTTAAAACAAAGCGGCCCATTTCAATGAGGAATTCTCCTTCCTACTTCTACCAGTTTACAATCACACAATCAAAACAAAAAATGTTCAGAAACTGCCTATCATTTGTCTCGCAGTGTGAAAGCAGTGTGTATTACTCCTTCAATGGAACTATTACCCTCCAGGTTTTTATTGCAGGATGTTGAGCCATCTTGTCTTATTTGGCTTGTAGAATACTGAATGTAAGGCTGTACCATGAGAGGTTCTACACGGTACAATCAGGAGCAATCATGGGCCCAAAATAATCAAATCTGCACTAACACATATGGATATTCTTTTAAGTTTCTTCCCTGTGATTCATTTTTAAACTTGTGTGTCTCTTTGTTGTTACCATATCCTATCATGATACACTTTATTCTTCTTGATTCTTTGTTACCTGGCCTACTAGTTAAGACCCCTCTAGTAACATACTACACTGGGCTGCTCAGCTTATTAACTGTGTTCATCATCCTACAAGTTGATACATTTTGTGCCATGTATACATTTGCATTCCAAAACAGGTATATTAGCAACACAGCAAATCTCGAAACTCAGCTTCATGCTCTTTTAGTACGTGCTATGTTGGAAAGGCATTTTCCTTGACATGTTGTGCCTGGTGGAGGAGATGAAGTACTAATGTAAATAGACTTCAACTTCTTGCTTCAAAGGGATATGCACGACAAGGAGTAACAAATGAGATTCTAAATTATTCCAGATATCTTGACAGGACCCTTTGAAGGAGATTTTACTGGTGACATGGATCCCTTTTTGAAGAAAGTCTTTGGGAGAATCAAGAAAAGAATTAATTCTGTCCAGTCTGATGCTTCTGAGTTAGAAGAGTAGAATACCCCAACTTTTATCACCAGACTTGATGAGAGGGGAAAGCCATTCATTTGCAGAAATGTTGGAATTAGGCAGAACAGCACCAAGCAGAGTGGCCATACGTTCATAAGAAATTGTTGATAGCTCAAAACACCTTTGTTGAAAGGAGGATTTTGGGAATTTCAGGAATGCTCTTCCACAGAACCCATGCTCACGCTGGAAGAGTTTTTCCTCTTTAGAGTCCAACTACTCAGCTCACTGAAGTGGTGAAGCAAGCCAGAGGTGCTGAATACCATAACTTAGCTGTTGTTGTTTTTTTTTATTTTTGTTGGTTGTTTTGATTTGGTTTTGCTTGCATCCTCTCCAGTCATTTACAGTAGGAGAAGGTAGAGGTAAAATTGTGCCTGATGATACAGCAGCAATTGGCAGATAGAACCTGGCTGGAGAAACTGGCAAAGTCATGGCCTGCCTAACTGTTAGAAGCCCTCATCTCTACCCCAAACAAGGAGAGGGTGAGGAGAACTCACCCCAAATAAATAGAGAGTAAATGTCCATGAAGGTTCTGTGAGCCATCTTCTTGTGAGTGAGTGTGTCATCAGTAATGTGCCGTGTGTTGTACAAATCATGTACCATCTTGCTGAAGTTTGCCTTGTTCTGTTTAGTAGATTAATGAATTGCATCTTTTTTTAATGCTCTATTGGCATAAAACCAGGATAACTTTCTTGGTAGATCAGAGCCAATAGTTTGTATTTCAGAGATGGAAGTACTTAAATACTGAGCTGCTGATAAACTGGTAGCAGAGCTGGATAAAAAGCTCTGCATCCCAGCCCCTTATACAGTTACTGCAGAGATGAGAGTCTAATAAAAGAGAAGAGCTGTCATTATGTATGCCCTGTAACCTGGCTAGTGTTTACTGAATTATTTTATACAAGTAATGAACCAGTGAATTGCCACGAAGGTGTGGCAGAAATAAAGCAGGATGACAAGGTGAAAGCCTTTCCTCTTGCTACTGTTTCAGGGTGGACTGCTCTGGTTTGACCCATTTCTGCCCAAAGTAACCATATTGTTACTAATGTATCATTCGTCCCTGAAATTGCAGCACTATTTCTTTGTACTTAACTGTAGGCAATGAAAGATTTTCTTTATCTTCCTTATTATTGCATATTGCATACTATATTTCTGAGGAATTTTTACGTATGCCTTACTCATAAGCACTTTATTACAGTCAATAGTCAGAAATTGAGTTGTTTTGAGGGAGCTTGCAGTCACATAACATTGCTTCTGTATGCCAGTAAGATGTAGATCATTCTCGTAATTGGACGCCTAGTGCACAGACTTGCAAATAATTTTAATTTGGACTTTTGCCAGCATTCAGGCACCAACAGAAATGGTTGCAGCAATGTTCTTGCCACAGAGCATATTTGACAACTATTTGCAGAAGGGAAAAGAAGAGAGATGGGGTTTATTCTGTGCTTTCTGATGCGCATTCCTGTAAACTGTTTACATCTTCTATGAAGTCTGAGACTTTTCCTATTTCTGCTTTCCATTATCTCCCAGGTTTTACACATTTCCTAAGTACGGGTAAGTTTCACAAGCATCCAGAAGTTTCTTTCCAAAAAAATGATCTCCAAAATGTGCGTTTAGCAAACCCTCTGAGGCCTGGGCATGTCTTTCAAAGGCAGATGCTGAGAAATACAGAAGAATGTTTTTTTTTCTTCATAGTTTTGCTTCCAGTTCTGGTCCAAAGTGACTCAAATTGGAAGCAGATGTAATAGTAAGAACACTATAAGAGAAAAAAAAAATAGTTATCTCGTAGTAATCTAAGGATTGAATAATTAAATTAAGGTTTCTGCTTATTTTGTTTTCTTTAGTTGTTACCCATTGCAAAAGTTTGCTTCCTGTTTTCTATATTTTCCTGCCCGTTTTGTGTCCACCAATTCTTTTTAGTAAACTGTGATTCACTTTTCAAGATATTCTAATTGTACCCTTTAGTCTTGGTGAATACGACAATATAAAGGTTAATGGCATTTAG